ATTTCGGCCTCTCTCTTCTTTTTGCGCCAAATACGCCTCGCTTCCTTCTTCAGTTCCCTATAATGGTGCCACATGGCTCGCGTTGCGCCCGATCGCAGCGTGGCCCTGTAGGCGGCATCTTTTTTCTCTGCGGCTTCTAGACATTCCTCATCGTACCAGTTGTTCTTTCGGGCTCGCTGAAATCCAACTACTTCTTCGGCGGCGGTACTTAATGATCGGGAAATGTGGTTCCACTGCTCGCGTACGTCGGATTGTTGAAGAGTGCTCTCAGAGAGCAGGTGTGTGAGTCGAGTGGCGAATAAATTGGCCGTCTGTTGTGATTGCAGCTTTTCGACGTTAAGCTTTCCTTGCATTGTTGGGCGCACATTTTTTGCTGCACAGAGGCGGGTGCGTATCTTGGCTACAACAAGATAGTGGTCCGAGTCGATGTTTGGTCCTCGGAGTGTACGTACGTCCAAAACGCTTGAAGCATGCCTTCCGTCTATCACAACATGATCGATTTGGTTTCTCGTTTTTCGATCTGGAGACAGCCATGTAGCTTGGTGGATGTTCTTATGCTGGAACCTAGTACTACATATTACCATATTTCGGGCCCCGGCGAAGTCGATCAGCCTCAGTCCGTTATCGGACGTTTCGTCGTGGAGGCTCTGCGATTTGGTTTCTCGTTTTTCGATCCCTTCCTTGCCCACCTTGGCATTAAAATCGCCAAGCACGATTTTGACATCGTGTCGGGGGCAGCGCTCATATGTACGTTCCAAGCGCTCATAGAAGAGATCCTTGGACGCCTCATCCTTCTCTTCCGTCGGGGCATGGGCGCAGATGATTGAGATGTTGAAGAATCTAGCTTCGATGCGGATTGTGGCTAGACGTTCGTCCACCGGGGTGAACGCCAGTACTCGGCGACGGAGTCTCTCTCCTACCACGAATCCAACACCGAATTTGCGCTCCTTTACGTGGCAACTGTAGTAGACGTCGCAAGGCTTAACGCTTATTTTTCCTTGCCCCGTCCATCGCATTTCTTGGATGGCGGTGATGTCAGCCTTTGTCTTCCCGAGGACATCAACCAGCCGGGCAGAGGCACCTTCCCCATTAAGGGTCCGGATATTCCAGGTGCATACCCTTAAATCATAGTCCTTTATACGCTTGCCGTGGTCGTCATCAGAAAATGGGGGTCTCATCCCAGGCTTTTTCGATTTTTTCATTGGGCGGGGTTCTACCGTGGCGGGATCCAAACCCAGCGCACGCGAAGTTTAGCGCCTTCTCACTTTAGCTCGCTCCCAAACGGGTGTTTGGTTGCTACCCAGAGGATACGTGGATATAAATATCCGGATGTTGTGAGCTGCGTTTTGAACCGTACGCACAAGAATCGCTTCTGGCCACTCCCAGGTGAATGGCAGTCAGAAGTTTTCCACTTCTGTGCACGGAACCATCCTCCATATGTATGCATATGGGGCGTTCCATACTAGAGGTATACGCCGCCGGGCCACGCCGCCGCCGCCGCCGTTTTTTGTCATTTCTCACGCGCCGCCGCCGAGTTACGAAAATATCGGCGCGGCGGCGGCGGCGGCGGCGTTCGGCGCCTAGGGAATTTTGTACAAAATTTTCATGTTGTATGCATATTGAAATACATCGTTTGAAGGAACTAAATACTACTCGTATAAAAACACTATTTTACGAAATGAAAATTACATTTTTAAAATAAGTGTTTTTTGCATAATTTGGGCCACTGAAGATTTAAAAAAAAAAGCGTAACTCAGAAAAAAACATAGGTAACACGTTTTTCGATCGAAAGCGTTTATTACAGTTAAATTAGTAATGGTAATCTGACGATTTTTTCCGCAGTAGACAATTTTTTTCAATACTACTTTTTTATATACTACAGCAACAAGAAAGTTATACACATCAAAAACTTTAACGCCAATATCTCAGAAAGCAGTTTTAACAGAAGCGCCCTTATTGCATCTAACTCCTCAATTATTGGAGATAAAACAAAAGCCCTGTTCGCGTACGCACTATCCCGTAAATCCAGTACTAATTTTACTGGTTTTTTACTGGATGTCGTTTTCGTACGCAAATACTTGCAAGAAACTAGCAAAAGAGGGGAAATTGAGAGAGCAGAAATGACAGCTGAACTTGCAAGTTTTACTGGATTTTTACTGGATAAATTTTTACTAGCAACTATTTGCTAGTAAGAGAAACAGCTGATGGCATGATGCTTAATGTAATTCACATTAACAAAATAATTGTTTGTGGTGCTTTTAGAGTTGCAATTGACAAAATAAACCCATTTAAATATATAATAAGATGTAAAATATTAGTTTTCGATGAAAAATGCATCGGAAATTGACAAATTAATCAGCTGTTCATAAAACTAGCAACTTCTTGCTGGTTTTGCGTTTTCGTACTTTCTTGCGTATTTCACTCATTGGGAGTAAATATATAGTGGTCAAACCCCAGGAAGGTTTTGCTGCCGCGCATCGCAATATTTTCTATACAGAGTTAAAGTGCCCCTTTTTGGTAAAAATTACTATTATTTTGCATTACATTCTGTTCTCCTTAAAAAAATTTGGCGCTTAACATAGTAGTGGAAATTTAACTATTTTTAAGCCATTTTTCAAACAGTGGGTCAAAAAGGCCCGTTCTGGTGGGAGTTGATGGGTTAAACTTTTGAAAAAAAGTAGGCCAACCTTATTTTCAATATATAACCCGCAAAAAATCGTAAGCACTCCGTAATTTAACATAACGGTTGATAAGCTTATTGCAAACATTTGTTGTTAGCGACATAAATTACCCCAATAACTTAAACTTTAAATTTTTTTATTTGTTTGAATTGAAATAGTACATACGGATTTGTAGAGTACATAGAAGAGATGTATGTATATTAGGGTGCCCATCGAAAATAGTTTTTTTGTACGTTAGTACTACATATTTTCAAATTGTGGAAACTATCGATGGTCAAAATTTAAAAAATTTTTTGAAATTCAACCAAAATTAGTCATTCAAAAACTCATGAGTCTAGAAAATCGTATTTTCTGACCTAAATCGACAGGCTGCGACCTCTAAATGGCCTTTAAAAAATCTATAAAAATATGCAATAATATTTCTCATAAAAAACGAATCAAATTAGGGGGTAGGGTCTTTAAATTTTCAAAAAAAGCATTGTCGATGGGAAACCTAATGTATATACTATATAGCCTTTCTTTTGTTCGCCCATTCATCAGCAGCAGTCACTCAACATTTGAATTCAATGAATGAATTAAATAGAATTATAATCTGATGACATGATAAGGTTAGAAGCCTTATGGCTCCTTGGAATCTGCCTTATGGGCAGTAGCGCCGGCGTTTCTAGACGCGCCGGCGTCGCCGCCGCCGCCGATTCTTTCTGAAGTTGACCACGCCGCCGCCGCAAAGCCTGTCGGCGTAAACCTCTATTCCATACCAAATCGGACGGGGCTCACACTTCATGTGTTTGATTTGTTTCAAATTTTTAGGGTTGATGCATAAACATAAATAATAAACAAATATGAAATTTGAGCTTGATTAATACATTTTTAAAAACTTTACAGCACAAAAACAAAAATAAATCGATATTATAGTTTTCCAAATATCTCAAGAACGGGGCGAGGAAAAAATTTAAAAAGAAAATCATACATACACAAATCAAAATTCATTATGAAAATAAATATTTTTAATTTTTTTTCTTGAAAAATTTTTGACATATAAATTTTTTGATAAACAAAATTAGTTTTTGAAAATACGTCATCTCAAAATATAATAACAAAAAAACAATGGTAGCTCTGAGTATTGCGCAATATTTAAGTATAGCATTCTATGGTGCACTCTACGATAATTTGAGATATCATTTTTTTTTACACCGAAGTTGAGTAAAATTGGTACACTACAAATTTACAAATTTTTTAATTTTTTTTAGAATTTTTTTGAGTATGCATTCTTTTAACACGTTAAATTTTAGTGCAAGTTTTAGGCTACTGCAAAATTGCGTTGATTTTTAATATTTTTTATGCTGACGGCTTTTTGCACTTTTTCTTATAGAAGAAAATGCGCAAAACCGTTTTCAAAGAAAATTAAAAAAAAATAACGTCAGTTTTGTAATCGCTTAAAACTTGCACTTTCTTATACTAAAATTTAATGGGCTACAAAACTGCAAAATGCATAACTCAAATTATTGTAGAGTGCACCCCATAATACTGTACTTAAATATAGCGCAATATTCAGAGCTACCATTGCGATTTTTTTTTGTTTTTTTTCGAGATGGCATATTTCCAAATCTATTTTTTTTTATCAAAAAATTTCTATGTGTAAAATTTTTCAAAAAAAAACTTTAAAAATATTTGTTCTCTTAGAGTGTTTCGATGTGTGTATGTGTGATTTTTTTTTTTAATTTTTTCCTCGCCCCGTTCTCGAGATATTTGGAAAACTATTAAATCGATTTGTTTTTGCTTTTGTGCTGTAAAGTTTTAAAAAATATATTAATCAAGCTCAAATTTCATATTTTTCTATTATTTATGTTTATGCATCAACCCTAAAAATTTGGAACAAACCAAACACATGAAGTGTGAACCCCGTCCGTTTTGGTATGGCGAATGGTATGGTATGGGTAAGCGAATTTTGTGTTTATAATTTCTCACTGTAGTCTTCAGACTTAAATAATCGGGAGGATGTTTATTAAAAAATACATAGTTTAGGAAAAGATTAAATTAAATAAAGATTCAAACAGGTTTACCTCTGCAAATTTACCACATATTTATTATATTACTCTGGCGTACATAAAGAAAAAAATGTATGTATGTATATTTGCGATTATACATATATACACAAGTTTAATATAAAACTCATATTTAATATCCTATTGACGCCGTTCACAATTGTCCTGACATTCTCTAAGTGAACACCAACGGTTCCGATTACCTTCACAGCCAAGATAACGGAATCTGAAGCACGTTCTACTTCGCCAATCGTAAGCCCACCTTATCCCAGGTCGGCATCCTCTACCTCCCGTACCAATATCCTCTGGTCCTCTACAGATAGGGTTCCCTAAAAACAAAAAAAATACAAATTTACAAGTCTATTCATACGAATCACTTTGCAATGCAAATATTTTCTTAATGTATACTTACGTGGTTCATTCGAGCACTGGGCCAGAGTTTGTTCAAAAAACAGGACGCAGAGTGTCAGTGCTAATAAATAAACAACACACTTCATTTCGGATAATTGAAAAACGCCGCTTGATATAGATTCGAAGTAATATCAGTTACTGAAAACTTTTGAGTTGGCAAAAAAGTTTTTATAGCAACAAGCTCTTATTCGCAATGCTATTGTACTTGTATATACTTTTGTCTATTGTTGTTTACAGACGAATGACTTTTTGAAGAATGACTTTTTTTTAACAAACTTTGTATTTGTACTACGTAAATGTGTTTTATTATTAATTTCTGTTCTCTTTTTTATCATATTGAAAGAAATGATTGTTCTTAATATCTGCTTCAGAGTGAGGTCACAAGATAATTTATTAAGGAGTAAGTAGGGGCAGGGCCATCGGGAGAAAATCCGGGCCCGGGGGTGAATATGTGCACGGTCCCACCAACCCCACAAAATAATTTTCCATTTTCGCATGAATTTCCAATGTTTTCTCTTATACTTGTTCAGTGCTTTTTCCGTAGTATTTATGTGGAGTATGATTTTGTCGTTAAACACCTTCGTCTAAAGAGAGAATTGTTTCTACTATACAGATTAAATGAATGCGTAAAATAGTTTTTCTTGTTTTAGTCACGATGCGGGCTGAAATTTAAAAAGATTGTAAGGAAATAAAGACAACATAAATTCGTAGGTAATAAATGGATATAAATATCATGTTTAACAATTTTATTGGGATATGAATATTTCTAATTTTCTAATAACTATTAGCGAGTTCACAAGGTATTGTATACTGTCGTATTCTTGTATGATGTAAACATTAAAAACTTAAATAAATGTTTAGGGGACTTGAAACCACAACCAACTTTTATTTAACTCTGTAAAAATTCATAATACAGCTTTTATGGTACCTTGCGAACGCCGCTCATATATTTTTAGCCATTTAATGTTTACGACATACAACTATACGACAGCATATAACATGTTGTAAACTCTCAAATTGTGTTTTCTAAATGTATTAAAAACGAATATTAAATAGTGACCTTGAAATGTGATTTTTCAGAATAATAAGAATTACATATAAAAATGTGAGATTTAAATTGAATTGCTTAGAAAAAAAGCAAAAAAATAATCACAAATTCATTGAAAAATATGCATTTTTACTGCAACTTGTTTGGTTTCTTTTTCAGATTGATACATGGATACTGAAAACAAAAAAAAATTAATACTTTTGGAACTCAGCTTTTCACACTCGGCACCGCACGTTCATGTATTTTCGTACAGTGTAGCGAAGAGTACTCCGATACAGTGTTGCCGTTGAGAATTTTCAGAAAGTCGCAAAAAAGGGGTCATTGACGAAAAAAAGGGTCACCATAATATGTTTTCTTTTCTTTACTAGTAAAAGAATAAATCTGAGATCTAAGGTCAAAATGACATTTACATGTAAAGCCTTTTCTCTGCTAGAACGGTGCGTTATTGAATTAAAAAAGAAAATAGTGTGACAAGCTTTGAACAAAACACAGAAATCGAGTTGCTGCAAGGAGAAGAGTTGCATTTCCTTTAAAAGTTTTAAGTGATCCATTTTTTCGTACTTGCAGGAGGAAAAATTTTGTAATAACATGGTTCTATTACCATTTCCTATAAAAATCTCTGAAAAGGGGCAAAAGTCGCACATAATTTTGGGAAAGGGTCAAAAAATCAGAATTTTCAAAAAGTCGGGTCAAAGAATATTCACACTTAAAAAGGGTCATATTGCCCCTTTAGTCGCACAACGGCAACACTGCTCCGATAGTGACAACAAAGACAGAAAGTTTACATTTTCTGCGTTTGTAAAAAACCATTTTTGCCTCACATGTACCAGAAATGTACATACATATATGGGGAGTGTGCTTCAGGGCAGTGACTTTACCTGTGTAATTTTGTACGATGAGTAAAAATTTTAAGTTTTAATTCTGATCACCTACATATGTCATGTTTAAGAGGAATGTAAGAAGTTTTTATTTTCGTTTTGTCATTTTTTCCATTTTCTTTCATTAGATTTGAACTCTTAATTTTTTAGCTTTTTCTCCGTGTTATCAGGAAAGTAACAATAAAAATGTGTTTCGCTTAAGTTTTATTAATTCTTTGATTATTTTATGTTTAAGTTAAAATAAATAATTAATGCCTTTTGTATTTTTTGAAGATATAAAGTGTGAGTCCTGGATACTCAGGGTAACGGTTTAACAACTTTTTGTTAGGGGGCCCGATTAAGGGTTAAACCTAAAAATTTCTATTTATACATATACACAAGAAAAAAAAAACAATAAAATTTAATTAGAAAACATTTTTTCCGCCTATGTAAAAAATTATCATGCTAAAATGCGACAGAAATAGCAAGTGTGCGGAATAGGGTTGCCACATATTTTCTATCGTATATTTTCTATCGTATATTTATTTAATTTTTTATTTAGAATGTTAATATACAATATTGCTCTTTACGGATGCTAAAAGAAAGCTCTTAAACAAAGCTTTGCGTATATAGTAAGTGTTGTCCCTTAAGATTTTAGTGTAAGGTTGCCACTTATTTTCGATTCTGCAAAATTTATCTTAATTTAATAACTTAGTATGGATATCAAACGAGAAGTATTTTGGGAACTTTAATGGAGAAATATTTTCGTTGACGGTTGCCACGTTTTTTTTAATACCAATTTGAATCTTTCTAATTTCAACGAGATTATTTTGTATGAATGTAGGTGTTCACTGTACATTTGCACTCAACATATGTACTCTTCAACCTGGCGTATTTCTTAATAGGATTTCCATTTAATTTTTGATAGCCGATAGCCCCAGCAGCTAGCGCTAACTTATACTTTAAGTTTATAATTTAATTATAAGTTTAATAGATTAAATAAATAAATAATTTTTGATTTCAAACATTTTTAAATTTATTACATTCAAAAAGTAAAGTTGTTTTTAAAATCTTTCAAGAACACTTCTTTAGTAGAATATTGACGATTTTTTTTGTAAATTAACATTATTTTTTTAATTTTTTATTTTCACTTTGTTTCACTTTTGTGTACTTCCTAGTCTGAAATATTAACGCATTGATCATCTTTTTTTTATCGATATAATTTGTTTGGAAAGTGGTATTGAATAAGCGTAATGTTATTTAACAAATTCCATTTACAGCAATTGCACAGCTAACGAATAGTCAATGAAAGGTAGGTATAGGACCATCCACAACCATCGGGAAAAGGACTCGGTAGATATAACAATAGCCACTATGAAGCAGTTTGTTGTAGATCACACAATTATAGTAGTCTAGGAACGCCTAAGAACTGTTTACGGCCCACTTCGTAACCTATGTTTGACCTATGTTATATGTAGGACTGAATCGAAAATGTTACCAAGTTGAAAAATAAGTTACCAACTGTGATAAATAAAGAAAAAAAAAATACTAATTTTGGTAAAAAATTACCAAAACGGCAACGATGTATGTGTTACATACATATGTACATACATATACACGACTACATACCATTTTTACCGCATATTTCTGCGACTGGCTTCCATGCTTTCTCCTTGTTTCAGAATAAGAGTTGTGTGTATTCGGACGTTTGCATACGCTTGCTTATTCATATTATAGTCAGCCCTTAATTTCGATTCATACTCGCAAATACCCAGTTTTATACGCAAAATTATAACTTCAGACACCATCTACACACATACATATGTGCTCCTTGATGCGAATCACGAGCGTTCAGACTTAAAAATGAAAATTGTTTCATAGGCATGCCATTTTTATGAGTTATTAAGGCGCCAAAATACCGAATACAGGACAAATACGGGACGTTAAAAGAAATGCAGAACATTTGACGTCCCGTATGAAATAAGTAATTAATACCACCAGGACAATTGACGAAAGAAAGGACTGCCCAGCATAATACAGGACGGATGGTCACCGTACCTATACTGCCTCTGCCGGGTTGACCCTGTGACCTCCAGTATTAGTTCACCTTCTCCTTAACTTACCAAAATTGTGAATTTTTGGTAATAGTTTTTCATCGCAATGAACATCAGTAGCCACTAAGTTTGATTTGTTAAATCTCTCCTTGATTTTTTGTGCCTTCCTCGAACATGAGTATTAAGGTGAACATGAATGACAAATCAACAAAGAAATTCCAGAAGTTTGAAAATGGCAAATAATTGTAGAAATGCCAGAATATTCGGAAAAATAAAGTGTCCAGTGAAGTGTATTTAGTGAGAAAAAGTATAAAGGAAAGAGTATATAGTAAAGGTATTTCGCGTAAAATAATGTAAATTAATTTTGGGGTTTATTTAACAATCCAGTAATCAAACTCGGTATGGTTCGGTTGTTCAGAATCGCGCTGGAATGAAAACTTACGAAAGTTTATGGTGCAACTACACCTTGTCAGTGTATCATGGATGATAATATGCAGCGGCTACAGGCGAGATATCATGTTAAGCCCTTCCTGAGTGCCGCTACTCACTATACCCGGTCCCCGATATGCCAAGGCCTGCGTGTCTTTGCACTTTTCCTATTATTTTCCTGTTATTCCCTACACTGAGAAAAACGATTAGTTTCGACAACTAAAGTTATTTAGTTCCCGAATTTTGACAATATTTGGGAACTGTTACCAAGGATTGGGAACTATTACCATGGGTTGGTAATTATAACTAAATATACTAAAGCTTCTTATATTCATCTAGGTTGTAACAAATCGTTAATTTAGTTGAAGGGTTTGGTTAATACTAATAAATATTTCTTTGAAGCATATTTCTACAAATTCCATTCAACTTAACGTATGGTTCATAAAAGGATGTTATTAAGCTCTGCTAATGCAGATAAGCTTTCTTTCAACACGTGGTTTAGTCATAGTTACCAAATCTTAGTTGAGGCAACCACGATTTGGTTTGAGAGTGGAACATATTCATGCTTGTGAGCCACCCCTAAAGAATGCTGAGCGCTCTCTGAGCACATCTGTGTTTCATATACGAAGAGCGCCAGCTGAGCAATGCACACAGTCCCACTAATTGAATCGTTTGAATGTGCTAGTATGCCGACCATTCAAGAATGATCGAATACAAGATTGCGCCGATCAGAGAGGATTTTTGAGAATAACTTTTGTGTGACGTCACACTGG